GGGTAGGTCAAGGGGATGGAGAGTGGGAGCATGGGTCAAAGGGGAGTAGGCGGAGCTGGAAGGGCGGAGGGCGGAGCGGGCGGAGGGCCTGGGCATGCACTGGGGCCTTAAAGTCAGCTGAGAAGCCACATCCATGCGAATGGGGCCAGGAGCCATGGGTCCAGTGGGGGGCGGGGTGCGTGGGGTTGGAAGTGTGGGTGCGTGGGGGTGTGGGCGGTGGGGGCGGTGGGGGCGGTGGGGGCGGGCATGCGCTGGAGCCCCTTAAAAACATCTGAAAGAAGGTAGCCAGTGGCCCTGAAACGTGGCAGGGGGAGGCCCTCAAACGTGGCGGGCGGGGGGGGGGGGGGGGGGGGGGGGGTGGGGGGTGGGGGTTGGGGGTGGCAGGGTGCGTGCGGGGTGGGGGTGGGGGTTGGGGGTGGGGGTGGAGCAGGGGCCATTTTTTTGACCAGCATTGGCAGCCATGCAGGTCGAGGCATGAAGAATGGGACCAGGAGCCATGGGTCCATGAGAAGCATGGCGGGGTGCGTGGGGGGCTTGGGCAAGGGGGGAGTATGCTAGGACCAGCATTGGCAGCCATGCAGGTCGAGGGATAAAGAATGGGACCAGGAGCCATGGGTCCATGAGAAGCATGGCGGGGTGCGTGGGGGGCTTGGGCAAGGGGAGAGCGGGAAGGGCGGATGGGCGGGGAACGGTGGTGCGTGGGTGGTGGGGTAGAGCAAGCGGGCCAAGCGGGGGAGGTCGAGGGGATGGAGAGTGGGAGCATGGGCCAAGGGGGGAGTAGGCGGAGCTGGAAGGGCGGAGGGCGGAGCGGGCAGCGGGCGGAGGGGGCGGGCATGCACTGGGGCCCTTTAAAGTCAGCTGAGAAGCCACATCCATGGGCCGTGGACCATGAGCCAATGGGGCCAGGAGCCATGGGTCCAGTGGGGGGCGGGGTGCGTGGGGGTGGGGGGGTGGGGGTGGGGGCGGTGGGGGTGGGGGTGGGGGTTGGGGAGCTGGGCCATGGACAAGCGTGGGGGTGGGGTGGGGGTGGGGGGGGTTGGGGGGGGTGGGGGGGGGGTGGAGCCATGAAGCATGGGTCCATGACAAGCATGGGCGGGGGCAGGGTGGGGGGGGTGTTGGGGTGGAGCAGGGACCATAAATAGGAGGGATGAAGAATGGACCAGGAGCCATGGGTCCATGAGAAGCATGGCGGGGTGCGTGGGGGGCTTGGGCAAGGGGGGGAGTATGCGGAGCGGGAAGGAGGCATGGGTCCATGAGAAGCATGGCGGGGTGCGTGGGGGGCTTGGGCAAGGGAAGGAGTATGCGGAGCGGGAAGGGCGGATGGGCGGGGGGCGGGGTGCGTGGGTGGTGGGGGTAGGGAAAGCGGGCGGGCATGCACTGGGAGGAGCCATGGGTCCATGAGAAGCATGGCGGGGTGCGTGGGGGGCTTGGGCAAGGGAAGGAGCGGGGGGCGGGGTGCGTGGGTGGTGGGGGTAGGGCAAGCGGGCGGGGATGCACTGGGGGCCGGTCGAGCTTTGGATGGGGTGGAGTAGGTGGTAGGGGCAATGGGTCTTCACTGACGCCGCCCCCTAGGGGTCGGCGGATATAATGGATTGAATTTTGCTGTTTAGGCCGCCATGCTGGCAATCAGAGACGCAGCAAGGCGGGAGCTGGAACCTGGAAGCGAAGGTTGTTCATGGCAGTGTCATGGCACGTCTGTCACTGCTGCCGCTCAGTTGTTATCTAGGCGAATGAGCCTGATCTTGGTATGTTAAGGTTGCAAAGTTTCGGAGTGTTCTTGCATCACTGGCATGCTTGTCGGCACCAATTGAGATCAGTCTACAGCTTTGTTGTAGCATCGGACGCACTCGGATCCACCTCATGGTCCAAGACCATCAGCCTGACAGGCGCTGCAGCGCTGGCAGCGACCTCCCAGCAGATGGCAAAACCCAGGTGCGTCAATGTCAACAGTGCTGCACATTGCTGATGTACTGCGTTTTTCTGACCGAGGAGCAGTCTCACGCGGCTGCAGCTGGAGTGCAGGAGTGGTTTGGAGTGCTTTGGAGTGGTTTGGAGGGGTTTAGGGAGGGAAGACGCAAAGAGAGCGGCAAAAAAGCTCCTGGCGCAGGTTACGGCCGACTTGCTTGCAAAGGCCCGGAGCCGGGTTCAGCCATCGGTTGGCCAGCAGGAGACCCGAGTCGAGTCACGACTGTTGGGGCCTTCAACAAACGAGGGTTTGGGGGGGAACAGGGGCCCAGGGGACAGGGCACAGGCGAGTTTGTAGGGATAGGAGCACGCGGCCCCGAGAATAGGGGAATATATAACCAGATGGGGAGCCTCCGGCTCACACCGCCGGCTCTGCAGGAACAGGGTGTGGGGTTTAGGGTCTCGCGTTTAGGGTTTAGGGTTTAGGCGTAAGCTGGGAAGGTCCCAGGAGGGGTCTCATGGGGGGTCCCAGAGAGGGGTCCCAGTGAGGTCCAGACCAGTCCCAGGATCCCAATCCCCCAAATGTACATCTTTCCACCCTGGCACGCTCACCCAGCTCCCATGGTCCTTGAAGTCGCACGGCCAAAAACCCATCCAACACGCCGCCAGGGTCGGCGCATTACAACCAGAACGACCAGTGGGGCCGTGGCGAGCGGGTCAGAAAACAACCAGACTGGAGAATTTGCAACCAGAACCGCCAAATTACAGCTAGGCATTCAGGGTCTCCAAACATGGGCGAAATCACAACCGCCTATTACACCAATAATCAGGAAGAGTGGGAATACCTAAGATCCAAACTTGGAATGCGACTCCTAGGCAACACTACACAAATTGTTGAACAGCTGGTTGTAATTTCGTCCGTCTCATCACGTCCTAAGAAATGTGCTTGAGACTGCGTAGATCTTGTGTGTTTTGTTGGTAATGTTGCAATTGGTTTGTTCGTTGGTTGTATCCATGGTTTTCTAGATGTTTTGAGGCAGTGAACACATGGAGCTAGGATTTGAATCTCCGAGGGCTTTGGGACCCAAACAAAGACCCCCCCCCCCCCACCTCCCCCCAAAAAAGCTTAGCTCCCAAACAAAAAGCCCCAACCCCCGGGCCCCTTTGAAGGAGCGACGCGAGTACGAGCAGCTCGCTGCTCGCCTGTGTGGTTGGCGTTCTGCCGGGGCAACTTGACAAAGAGTACTGCCTGTTGTACATATCGTTTCACTTGCAGAGACGGGGCTGGACCCCACCAGACTTTTGCCGGTCAGTGCGGGTGCGCCGAGCCAATGCTAGCACCGTCTTTGCTTCTTGAGGCAAAGTCTTCATTGATTCGCCGCGTGACGTTTTCATCGCAAAAATTGCCAGGCATACACGACCAGCCGTCCAATTCTCCAGCTTGCACATGCACGACTCGTCTGCCGGCCGTGACTATATGTGCAGATACACAGTCCCCACACCTACGATCAGAAGACGTTTACAACGCTTTATACATGCTGAAAACACTCGTCACATGAAGACTCGGTCCTCCTGTAGATTACAGACCAGGGACCTGTTGATGGAAGCATTCCTTTGATTCTTAGCCGCCTTAGCCAGAATCGCACTGGTGCAGAATGCCGCCAAGAGGGCTCGCATGTATCAACCACGCCAAGCACAACAGAAGGAGAGACACATTGATGCCATCCAGCTGCCACCATGGCTGAGCGAGCGCGGTAGTTGTGCTGCTCTCAGTGTGGTTGACATAGAGTTGCTTGTGTGAATGTTCCTTTCTCGTGGCTGCTAGTTAGCATGAGTGTGGACAAGGATTGCAAGCATGCAAAGCATGCAAATTACTGCAAGTCAGCGCAAGTCATTGCAAGTCTATCAGATATTTCTTTGGGGTTGGCAGGGCTTTGCCAGGAGGGTCGACTTTGCACTGCCCCCCCAGGCCCCTTAGGCCCTTTCATCTTGCAGCGACAGTCTCAAGGGCTCTAGAGCCTTGTCTCAAGTGGCGGAGCCATGACAAGCTTGGAGCCATGATGTCCTTGCAATAGCCTAGCAAGCGTAAGCAACGTCGCATCAGCCCGGGTACAGACAGCAACTGCACTGCAACTGCACCCAATCCAAGTGCTCGGCCTAACAAATTTCAGAAGCTTCGCTGAGCTTCGCGGCGTCGAGCTCGTAGCCCATTTGCAGGCAGGGCCGCTTGTCCAGAGAGCATGCGGTTGCAGAGAGCGTGTCCGATTTTGTGGCTTTCAATTTGCTTTTCCACTGAGATCCGTTTTGAGGATGTCAAGCAATAGTCGTAAGCCTCACGAGGCTGATGGGCATCCATGGAACCTTCGAGGTGCCGCTGGCTCCCCCATGCTCCCCCCCCACCCTCTTGACATTCTTGACTTGCTCGCATTAGCTATCGTCGCATGCTCACACTCAACACCTGTCAGCACAGCAGCAGCCCGTCACAGCCCTCAAGCTGCTCTCCATGGTTCACGGTTCACGGTTCGTAGGTTGTGAAGTTCTGGCGGCGGTTCGGCGGTTCGGCGGTTCAACTCGTGTCCTGGAGAGAGCATCGTGTCCTGAAAAGAGCATGTGGTTTTAACAATTCGACAGTTGCTCAGCTGAGTCCTCCAAGACTTATGTGAAACTGAGCAACATAGGCTGTTGTGTGAAGCGGTGGGAATAGGAAATGAAGAACACAGGGGTGCAAGAATTACGGGTTGGTAGGAAACTAACCTTACATGTTGGATGAAAGACATCGTTGAGGCCGAGGTTTGAGGAACAGTCCAAGTATGGGCCAGCTCCAATAGCTGAGGATGTCTGATGTCAAGCTGTGTAAATTCATTGGAGCACTTGCGACAGTCTGCCGCCGTAGCACGACAGGAAGCAGCAAGCGCTGCCATTTTCCGAATTTCCTGGGAACGAGGGGAATCTCCGCCCTTGTGCTAAAGAGGGACAGCACACCGACAACTTGCGCACAACACAACCCTTTTGGCCCTTCGTCCCAAGGGCTCCGCGCGCAAGAAAGAGAGTTGTGGGCTCGCTGTGTGGCTCGGGGCTGTGTGGTCAGGAGCTGTATGGCCTTCCCGTGCTGTGAAGATGACCAAGGCTTTGGCCTCAGCATTGCCTCAGCATGGGCGAGACCATGAGAGTAAGACTGAGCTGAGTAAGAGCTGAACTAAGAGCTAGACGAAGAGCATGAGGGATTGTTGAAGAATGGCAATTTGTCTAGACGAAGTTGCCGGTCAAAGGCCTCGGCGAAGATGTCGTCAGTCTTTGCGTGAGAGTGTGGCATCAGCTGCATCTATCTCAGGTGACCATGACCCCAACGCGAACCTCGGTTGCACTTTGCACTTGCTTGTTCTTGGCGCAGAAGCGTTGATGCCCAACACTGTCCAAGAACGCCAAGATTCTTTTGGGGGGATGCTTGAAGCCATGGTAGACTCTTGACCTGAGGTATCGCCTGACAGAAGTGGTGCTTGTTGGGCCTGCACCGGCACCAGAGGAGAGAGAGCTCTGCCCTCGCATCGAGGGGGACATCTAGAAACTCAGCGATTCTCTCGCGAACAATTGAAGCTGCAAGGTATCGGCCAGAGACAATCTTGCGCAATGGATCCCGGCACGCCTCTGTTTGCGACAGACTTGGGACGACTTGGCGATGAGTTGCCTTCAGCATCTCCATTTTGCAGGTACACGGGCCAGTGGAAGGGAAGTCTCAGGGATGGCAAGGACCCCAGCAGACCCCAGCAGACCCCAACTCAGAGAAACCTCAGGCGCGGCTGCCCCAGAAGCCGGTTTGCACGCTCGTGTGCAGTAAAGTGCAAGTATCATTTGTGAAGTCAGTAACTCTGCATCATACTAGCAGAGATTTCACGACAGCATACGGGTTCCTTCTGCTTTGCACAGCTGCAGCAACATGCAAAGCCGTTACCAAGTAGTTCAGTGGACCATCTCACCTCTATGAGGCTCGGGGACTCTGGTTTGGCCTGACGGTGCGAGCTATGTGGGCGAGTTTTGCGAGGATCGCAGTGATGAGAGCGCTCATGAGGTGTTCTTCAAATAGTCAAGCACCGCCAACGCAATGCAGGATGTGGCGCAAGGCTTTGGAAAGTTCATCCAGCCGGAAGGTGACGCAGGAAGCTCAGCGAATTCAGGTCTTGCGGGACGCGAAAAGCAGAGTTAAATGGAACTCCTTAATGTGGGACTTTCTAGCTCTCAAGAAGTCAGGAATTCGAAGGGATGAAGCAAGGTGCGATGTAGCAATGGACCAGGGATGATGAAGCACACGGATAAACATCGAAAGGCGATGAAAGGCGTAGAGAAGGATTCTGGAAAGAAAAGAAAGGGTTGAGAAGGGGTCGGATCAAGAAACTGCACGAACTGTCAAGATATCTATGCCTCAGCATTGGGCAAGAAGCCCGACTGACGCATGGTTTCAAGATCTCGCAAGGGAGAGTTTGGAGTTTCAGGGTCTTGGGGGAAACCAGATTGCACACATGCAGGGGTGGTGCGGCGGAGGGATCGAGGTTCAAAATTCCGGTGAACAGCCAAGAGTTCATCGAGCGCCAAGGTTTATGAAGGTCACTGGGTTGCCGACAAAGCCCACGGGAAAGGAACATATACCCAGGACCCCGTGCTGCATCAGATGACAGAGGACAGGAGCTGTGCAAGTGGGCATCGCTCTGGCAGGTAGATGGGGCTGTCTTTGAAGGCGAATGGGCCGCTAGCTCGGAGATTTGTTGCAGTCCCAACCGCCAAGCTTGCAACTTGCAGCTGAGAATCAACGACTTTCAATTACTAGGTCGCCGACCAGCAGCATGGACTCGGCCAGGCTCGTGCTTCACCATGCTCACATCGATTGAGCTTGTATTAAGCTTCTTGGGGCATGTCCGAAATCTCCGAATAGCGATCTTCCTTCAGGAAACCTGGCCCGATGGGTCTATGTATGTTGGCGAGCCGCTGCCTTGGCTGGATGGGCTGCTCAAGCTTGGAGGCGCTACAACCGACTGCCTGAGGTACCTTGAAGGGAAGAAGACAGGAAACGGCATTTTTTCGTGGCCTGGTGGGCGCGGCACACAGTTGCACCTAGGGATCGTTCCTTATTCCCAGCTGTCCAAGAACGTTTTTGATGCTGGCACTTGATGCAATGCCTTTCGGCAGAAGGTCAAAGTACTCGGGCACCTTTAAGGACAATGAGATCGATGGCGAAGGCTTCTTGCAAGGGACTTTGCCTTTAGCAGAATCTTCATAAGTGGGCCGAAGCTCGAACTCAGTTCTAACAGGCCTCGAGAGAGTCTTCTTATGACACAGCAGCCGCTGTCCGCTTTTGAGCGTCGGCCTTCACTTTCGCCTTGACTCTGACCTTTGGGACAGCCTGGGGTGCAGTCGCAAATTCTCTCTTTGGTTTGCCCGTGCTCTTTCTTGGGGAGCGGCTGTAAACGGTAAAGGAAGCCTACTTTCTACCCCTGGTCACGAATAGTACTCAGCGCCGCTTGTGACTGCTTGGGAACAAAGATGGCTTCTGCTCAACCTCTGACCGCCAATGCCGGGCGATCTGCTGGTCAGGTGTGAGGCTCATGAGTTGCTGGACCACCATGTATGGGGCATGACTAGCTTGCTGCGTACGACGGGTTCTGTTGCTTGCTTCTCCGGTGTCCACGCGCACGCGTCGCAGACGGCCACGACGCGTGGCGAGTCTGCGACACATGGGTTGCTGAGAGTGCAAATGGAAGGATGAGCACTGACCAAACTGGATGAGCAATGAGGAAGAGAACAAGATGCTGCTTTCCGTTTGATCGGCATGCGTCTTTGGGGCGCCGTCCATTACTCAGCCCGACGACTTCGACGCTGGAAGCCTTCGGCGCGCGGAGACCAAAATCTCGAACGTTCGGCGTAGTGCTCTCCGGTGCACTTCTGTGTGTCTGGAAGTGACATGGTTGTTCTGACCATTGAGCCTTTTCATCAACAACTCATGGTTTAGCCGTCCGCTTAATTAGCTACTAAGGGTACTATCATCGACTTTACGTGAAAAACTGAAAAGGTGCAAGTCTCATCAGAAGGATGGGGGGGTCCTTACTGTCTGAGGCCGAAGCCCCCAGAACCCTGGTACGAGAACAGAAGCCAGACCCAGCATCTTTCCGGGACCTTACCGAGCGCCAGGCGCCTGGACCTTCCAAAGTCCAGAGCGCGCATCAGTCATAAGTCTTAAGTCAGTCGGCAACTGCCCAGCTGCACTATTTGATGTAAGTTGGCATCGGCCCAATGTGAAAGCAAGGAACTCAGGTGCCAGGTTCCGTATGTGGATACCGGGCAGATTGCAAGTGTTCTCGCAATGTGCGGTGGGGGTCTTTAAGGGTGAGAGCGTGCCCACATTGCCAGGAACCTACGACTGGTCCGATGGCCGGCGCTATCATGGACAGTGGAGCAGATGTAAGATGCATGGCATCGGCGCCCTGCTATGCCCTGCAATTCAAAACAACGATACAAGTGGTGTTTTGCGGGAAGCAGTCCCCATCCGTTCAACATGACATCTGCGTGAGCAGTTTGTAGAAATGCATAGCGCTGTGTACCGCTCTTCAGGTACATGCGTATGGCCTGATGGAAGATCCTATGAAGGCTCGCTCCGATCAGAGCCGACTTGATTTTTTCAAGCTCTGTAGCATGGGCATTTGCTGTAGTTTCACGACCGCATTTGTTTGTTTACGCTGTGTTGGCGAATGTTGATGACACTTGCGGTACGGTGCAACTTTGCAGATTACAGGGGCCGCTTGGTATACATCGGTGTAGAGCAGCCGTGCAGCCTGGAAGGTCACTATCACTACGACAAGAAGCATGGGTATGGCGTATTCCGCTGGTGTGGTGCTTGGATACTACGTAGATGGTCAACTACATCTTAAGGGGGGGCCAGAGAGCCGATGCAGTGATGCTGTGATATGCTGTGTGGTTGCCAGTGTCTGTTGCTCCCTCTAGTGCTTTCAAGGCCGGATGGCAGCCGGTTCACTGGAGAGTGGCAGGACGGCAAGCAGCATGGCTCGGGCGCTGGGCTGAGCCTGTCCCAGGCAACAGCAATTCATGGTGTAATGCCATGCAGGCCAGAGGACGTAATGTATGTAATGAAAACTGCCGGGCCTTGGAGTCTTGGTTCAAGAGTATTCATGCAATGCGAGCATGTGGGACTGCTTTGCTTTGGTTCTGATCAGGTTCTTTCTGGCCGCCAGGTGCTCTCGAGCCACGCAAAGGTGTTTGGGCCATCGTCTCAGCTTGTTCACCATGCATTTTCGAGTGCACCGTGAATGATGGTTGAGCAGCATGGCCCAGCGCATCCCCAGCACTTAGGAGAACGGGAAGCGCGTCAAGTGGTCTTCATGAAGGTGCCGTTTGCGTGCTTCTGCCCAGTCTCAGAGCTTCAGTCGAATCACCCCAGGAAAAAGAAACACAGAGATGCCGGCGTTTGCGATTCCCGACAATCCTGGGCTTCTTGCCAAGCAATGGCCCAGCGAACCCGTTGAACCTAATGGAACAGCTGCGATGCTGGCTGGCCTGTTGATTTTGAACGGCCAGATTCAAGATTCAAAATGGACAATTGCATTGAAGTGTGTCGAACTATGTCGAACTTCAATTCGAGTTCAATCTCGGTCCGCAATGTCGGATTCCATTGATGGCAGAGAGCCATGCTCTTCCATCAAAGCTAAGAGCCGCACCTGTTTCGCTTGCTAAGTATTACTGGGTTCCCACATCCATTGTTATGCTCAGAGAAACGGCTCTATGGCTCTATGGCCGTGGGCATGTGCAGTCCGGGATCGTTGAATGCCTTCCCGGCAGCTGCACCCATGCGAGTATGGCTTCTTGGCTTGACTGCGCAGGATCGCAGCAACCCTGTTTCCGCATGAAGGCGGCGACCGGAAACTGGTCTTACCCCCAGATCAAGACGGGCTCTGATGCCCGACATTAATGCCATGCGGAAAAAACAAGATCTGCCAGGAGAAGCGCATGCACCACTGGGAAGCCGGTGAACTCCCCTTTTGGGAGTTCATTTTTAAAATGTCGATAGCTCATGGACGACATGGCATAAACTACAGCTCACATGTCCCGATTGCTCCTCTTCATGGTGCAATCCTGGTATGTCTTGATCGGTGATGCGGAAGATTTCCAGACCACTGAATCCACTGTTAGAGATTTGGCCAGCTGTAGCTGTCCGAGGTGTAGATGCCACCCCGGCAAGATGCGCGGACAGCAGGCAGGCTGACCCTGTTGCATGATCTGGCTTCGACGCTTCCCAACGAATAGTCGGCTTTATTTTTGGCTCCGCTAGCAGTCTGGCTCAACAGTGGTCCACCCTTTCAGCTGACTTGCTCAAGCTGCGCTTCTGCCTCACAGCGTGACAGCTTGGACTCAACTTGCGTGTTGAAAGCCGTGTTGAAGCCGTATTGCCGTGTTGAAGAAGTTGCGTTCCTTAGGTCATCATGTCCAAGACTGTCAAATTCGAAGGCCAGAGCTCAGGCAGTCGAAGCGGAAATCACTGACTGCGGTGCCAGGTGTTGGCATGACCTGCTCTGGCTGTTCAGGGGCCATTGAGCGAATACTCAAGAAGGCCGCCAAGAGTCTGCCCAGTCCAATGCAACAGGTGCATGTCCATTCAATACATGTGCATGCCCTTACGACTGTCGCCAGGTGGATGGCGTATCGTATCATGGCAGCATCTTATTTTCTTCGGCAGGCTGTGCAGATTTGAAGTATTGGCTTCCGACCTGTGAGGGCAAACATCAACACAACCATTGGAGACTGCCGAGCTAACTGGCCAAAGATCTGCCCCAACACCAACAGTGCTCAAGCAGTGCTCTAGCCTGGAAAGTTTCCACTCTTGGTTCACAAATGATATCAAAAGACCACAGTGATGAGGAAACAACCGGTCTCAGTGCCCGACTCTTCATGTACTTTGCTCCAAGTACAGTGCCCAGCGCAACATTGAGTTTGATGCACCGCTTCTGAGGGAGAACCCTTGAGAGAGCCCCTCCGCGACTTTGGAAGGCGAAAAGCGGAAAGAGCGGAAAGTGCAGAAAGAGCGGAAAGATGAGCGGACGAAAATCGCAGTCGAAACATTCTGAGGACCATCGCCTGTGACATTGAGGGGAAGTCGGTGACCGTAGAGTACGACGAGGCCAAGACCAAGCCCCAGGAGTGCTCCGGCATGCGCGTTTTTTGCCGTGTTGCTTTTTGAAAAGAGCTGTGCTGTTTTATGGATTTTATAGAGTGTTCTAAGGCAAATGAGGCTGCTTTGCTGTGCTGCTATGGTGCCTGTTGCGCGGTCCAGGACATGTGGGACAAGATGAAGAAGTGGGCCGACGCTGCTCAGAAAGAGTTGGGTCCCTGCCCAGCGTGAAGTGCGGCCGAGTGCGATGCGCTGGCACTGTAAGTACACTGCAAGGAGTATGCTCAACTATGTTCATCTTAGCTTCGTCTCAAGCATCCGGAGAGTCCTGGAGAGTTCCGGGGAGTCGCAAGAAATGGCGCATGGATGTGCAACGATGTGCAAGAGATGCGGTTTTCGTGGAGTGAGCGGCCCTGTGAAAATCACACGGGATGTAGGAAGGCTTCGCAGAAGACTTGATGCTGACAATGGCAACAAAAGGTAGCAGATCTTGGAGCGAGGACCACGCCAAGTGCAGAGCGTGAGTGCAAGCTGTTAGATCTGTTAGCTGTTAGCGTTGCTTTGGCATTGCTTTAGCATTGCTCTAGCATTGCTTTCGGGGCCGCCATTGCTCCAGTGACCAAGAACCTGGCAGGCACTTCCTGGAAGCCACAGGGGCCAAGGCGGCTGCAGTTGCTTCTGCTGAGTAGTACAGTATAGGTCTTTATAAAGCTATTGTAAGGTTTGAGTGTATGCGCGGCCTGACCTTAAGCAAGTTCGTTGCGGCATCGCACAGATGGATTCTGTCTGCCTGTCGAGGAAGACCTCTGCTACGATGCTGCATGTGCCGCGCGTCAGTGAGAAAGACTTCCGTGGCTCCCAACACCTGTCAACCAGATGCGGCCCATCCAGGGAGGTTGTGTGCGAAGATGAGCTGCTGCAGTCAGACGCGATGGCGGCTCTAAGCTGTATACATGAAGAAGACGACGAAGGAGAGAGCTCCAGTTCCAGCCTTGCTCCAAGACGGATGGCTGGGTACAAAGGGTCCTCATCCCATCCAGGGGCTGAGTCGCTGGCCGAGTTTGTAGAGCCCCTGGATGAGAACCTGAATAGGTTGCAGCGCAAAGTAGCTTCGATGCTCGAGATGCAGAGACGTTCCAATTCACAGGACGACCTGAGAAGTCACAGCGCGCGATCTGAACCAGAGCGTCCAGAGCGTGCAGAGCGTGCAGAGCGTCCGGAGCGTCCGGAGCGTCCGGAGCGTCCGGAGCGTCCGGAGCGTCCGGAGCGTCCGGAGCGGAGAGCGCAAGGCGAACATGTCGTTTTGGATCAGCGTGCGAAGTCGCCGCAGCATGTATCCACGCATTTGTCGGCAAGCTTTCCTGAGTCTCATCATGCACGGCAGCCAAAGGACAGCTGCCCCTGTCCCCAAGCCCACAGCAGTAGATGTGCTGCAGGGAACACTGCGCAGTACCGAGAACTCCTGGCTGAGCATTGCAAGCAACAACTTCAAATGCTCGATGAGGAGGAGGCTGAGCTGCAGAAACAGATGCAGCTCCGCAAGCAGTTGCGTCTCGAACTGCATGAAGAGCAGGAGCGATGCCAGCAAGCTGCACAGAACGCGGATTCGGGTTTGTCAGATTCTCGAGATGCTCAGAGTCAAGACAAGCAGCTGGAACTGCTACGGAGTTTAGAAGAGCAGCTTCGAATCAGCGAAGAGCGCCGTTTGGAGTTGGAGCGCGAGAATCGTGTACTTCAGTCCCGGATCCACAAGACGCAGAGCGCCCCTCGCTCTCGGGTCGAACCTCGGGAGCCGGGAATGCCTGGAATGCCTGGAATGCCTGGAATGCCTGGAATGCCTGGAACTCCTGGAACGCCTGGCACGCCTGGAACATCTGGAGCTGGGAGAGATGACCGGGACGACCGGCCTGCATCGTCTCGCTCACCCCGGCCACCTCCCGAAAGAGCTGAAAGACCCCTACAGCCTATGCATGATTCGGTGGCCTTAAAGCGTTCGACGTCTCCAATGCGGGCACAGGACAGAGCCGTCCGGCAGGTCGGATACCCAGAGTCAACTTCAACCAAGTCCTGCACGCTGCCACTCAGGATTGTAAACACTGTAGCTCGTGTGCTCTCGAAGCCTGGAGGCTCCACGACCTGACACGAAACTCCAACAGAGTCCAATAGGGTGCAGCAATGGGAGGTCAGGCATGGTCGCTCTCGTAGTAGGATCAAAGGCACTAGTCACTAGTCGGGGGCACAGGGACAAGCCAGTAGAATGGCTCAGAAGGATGAGGAGGATTTCGCCATCCCGCAACAATCTCTTCCGTTGATGGTCTCAAGAACCCGACCCGCAATGTTTTTACGGTGCTCAGACCGCAAGGAGCGGACACAGCAAAAAAAACAACATATGGCAATGTGTAATTTTAACGCTACGCGACCCGCCTCGGCCCGGCCCAGCGCATCCGCGTGAGCATGGTGATTCCACAGCACCCAAGTCGCTGGACCCCAAGCAATAAGGTGGGGTAGGGTTGAGCCAGGCCCCTCAAAGGGGGGGGGGGGGGGGGTGTGCAGCTTAAATAGGGTTTATTTGGAAGCTGGCACTCGTGTTCACAAGAGGAAAAAAGGCCCCAAAACGTATACTTATTTACAAGAGCCAACTTCCAAATAGACCCTATTTTAGGTCCTATGGGGGGTCCCAGGCCTGAATTAAATATGAAGGCCCCGATTTAAATATGAATATTTAATTCT